TACCTTCTAGTCCGAATGGTAACCGAGGCTACAACTGTCTACATCCACAATATTTACGTTCCCGTGAATGCGTCGGAGCGTTCCCACTTTTACCGATCTCTACCTACAGAATTTGATCAAAATTCTCATCATTTGGTTCTCGGTGACCTTAATGTGGCGATCGATCCTATTCTGGACTCCCGTGGGGTGACCAGCGCGTCCGATACATCTCGGGGATATCTCCTTAGTTGGCTGTCAACGCTACACGTCACGGACGCGTGGCGCCTTCGGTTTCCGTGCCGGCGTCTGTTCTCCGGCCCTACGCCTCGGATTAACCGACTTGACTACGTCTTTATCAGTGATAACTGGGTTGACTCAAGGTTTGAAGAAGCGAGGTATTTTCAGGCACCACATAGCGGGGATCATCTCGCTCTCCGGGTGACCTTGGGTACGCCAAGTCGTCGCCCACTACCTGCGTATTGGCGCCTTAACCCCACAACACTTCAGGATGACGCAGTTCGTCAGACTATTATACAAGACATCCGGCAACTGCAGCGAACAACTCGTCATACATCGAGTCCAGGGCTTGTCTGGGAGGGGTGGAAGCGGAGAATAAAGTCTCTGCTCCAGCTAGCCCAGGCGAAGGCGGGAGATCAAGAGAACGACATTCTTCGTGCGTATCGCTCTCACGTGACGAGGACGAACCAAGCGTATGAGACGATCCAAGCACCGAGACAGCTGAGCCCTTAACTGAAGCGATTACAGCGGTTGAATCTCTCGAGCAAGTCCTTGCAGACCGTCGGTGGGAGGATGATTTTGACTATCATGCGCATCAAATGGAGGCATCTACTGCTGCATTTTTTCGTCCACCTTCCCCAATATTACGATCGACCGCGGTAACTAGTGTCGTTCTACCGGACGGCTCAGAATGTGACGATCCTGCGGATATTAGCGATCAATTTAGGCAACATTGGGGGATCATATTCGGCGATGAGCGCTTTGCTGGAGATGAACCTCCTACCGTTCGATCGGCGACGGATAAGCTACTCACTTT